GTTTATGTGGGGCAGAATTAGAGGTGGGGGATCAGGAGTTTGGTTTTGAACATGCTAAGTTTGGGATGCCAACTGAACATCCAAGTGGAGACACAGAGTTGGCAACAGGGTAAAGGAGGCTGAAGTTTTAACGAAATATTTAGAGTACAAATATAATTTTGGGAGTCCTCAAATAGTTTTTAAAAACAAGATTGGATGAAGGAGTGACTAAATGGAGAAGAAGACAAAGAACTCAGCCCTGGGACACTTGCATACTACTAGGCAGGAAGAAGACGAGATCAGAAGACAGGAGACAGAAATAACCAGTGAGACAGGAGAAATATTCGCTATCATGTTCTGGAAAGACAAGTAGTCAGCATTGTATCCTGTGGCTATCAGAAAAGGCTATTCTTGACTGGAAGCTGACTTGGGTAATATATGAACAGTAACTTGAATTCTTTTTTAATTAGAGAAATTGAATTCTTATAAATTTGAAAACTTCTGTAGCTTTAAATATTCAGTGGTAATTTTTTAGGCTTTGCAAATATTACCAGAAAAATAATAAAGCTATATCCATTTTGTGGGGGGGGGAAAGAAACTCCATTTGTAAAAGAGAAAACTATCGCTCTAAGCCAAATTCTGGGGAACTTCAGTAAAATCATAACAACAACGGTTATAGCATTATTTATTAGTTTACCAGCCAAAAATAGTCACACGACTTTACTACAGCTATTATGTTCTAAATATTGGTCATAAGTTTTAAATTAATTGAAATTTATATAGAACGAAAGAGAACAACTGTTTAATGTATTTCACTACTCCATGAGAAAGGGTCATTGTTGAGTTATGGTTTATATAAAGAACAAAGGGAGTGGACTGTGGATAACTGGAATATGTCTATAAAATACTACGGTAAACATGATGTATTCCAATTCTTTCATAGCACCCACAGCCTTCAACTAATAAGAAAACTTTAAAAGTCTTATATTAAAAATCACAAGAAGGGCTATTCATATTAATACTAATTTACTCCTCAGTTTTCTATGATTTAAATATGCAAGTAAAATTGTACAGAAGTTGTATTAAAATTTTTATGCTTCTTTAAAAAAGTTTTTTAGGACATACCATTATATCAAGTATACTATGAAAACAGAAAATTGTACATTTGGAATCTATTTTTTAGCTTGATACTTATTGCATCTGAAATATTTTATTTTTTCAGGCATTCACAAAAATTGTCAAGAGCCAACTATGAATGAGCTTCTTTTTTTTTTTTTAAAGATTTTATTTGGGAGTTGTGGGAGAACAGCGTTGGGGAATCGGGGAAGGGGAACAGACAAGTTGATGTCGTTTTGTTCTTCAGTCTAGTTGTGGAGGACATCGCTTCACTGGCCCATGTTGGTATTATCATTGTGCTCTTCCTGGGTGAGGCAGATCAGTCGCCGGCTAATGGACGGCTGCTCACGGTGGCTCACAAAAGCGCATGCCAGCTGCTGGCCAGCCCCACTGCAGCCTACGCCATCGCTGGTGACTCACCACAGCCCAGTTCCAGGTCCAGCCCTACGAGCTTCTTAACTAAGTGCTGAGAATACAGCAGTGAAAAGACAAAAATTCGTGCTGTCTTGAACTTATATTCTATGAAAAAAGTCCCACAAGGTAAAAGAAAACTTTAGGTATTTCTTTGAGGTATTTCTCAAAATGTAGTGCTCTGACATTCTGCACTATAATTATCAGTGGCATATGCTAAAAGTAAAGAATTGTGTATTTTACCACAATTTTAAAAAATGATGGAGATCTCAGGGACACCACCCCACAAGCAAGAAATAAAAAACGTGGGATGGGGGACAGGAATATGCATTTTTAAAAAGCATATAATGGGGCCGGTCGAGTGGCGCGTTGGTTAAGAGTTGGCTTGGGACACCAGCTCTGAGCAGCAGGGCCCTGGTTCAGTTCACACATTAGGGCCAATGACACTGCGCCCTCTACAGCTAAGATGGTGAACAACAGCTCGACCTGGAGCTGGGCTGCTGTGAGTCGCCGGCGATAGTGTAGGCTGCAGTGGGGCTGCAGTGGGCTGCCATAAGCTACCGTGAGTGGCTGGCAGCCAGCGTGAGCTGCCAAGAGCCGCCGTGAGCAGCCATCAGTGGTTGGCGGCCTATCTGCCTTGCCTGGGAAGAGCACAATGATCACAATACCAACATGGGCCAGTGAAGTGATGTCCTCCACAACTAGGATGAAGAACAAAAGGACAGCAACTTGTCTGTTCCCCTCCCCCAATTCCCCAATAAAACCT